CCTTTTATGGTCCATTCTTCTAAATAACTTGGTATATATTTTTCGAATATTTCTTCTTTAAAGTATTGGATCGATGGGGTCCATACCTGATGGTCCATTTGTTTCTTTGTCATCCATTGAGGTGGATACATATTATTAGGTTCATTGTAAATTATCTGTGAGTATTCGTGTGGTAATACTAGGTATAAATACATTGCTATTTCAACGTAATATGGTGATTTCATATAATCACTATCGCTAGTCGTTGTTGGTTGAGTTCCGGATCTATTATAAGAAAGATATCCATGTACTCTGATGAATTGTAATCGTTCGGGTTTCATTTTGAATTTTAATTCTTCAATAATTTCCCGTGTAATACAGTTCCAATATGTTTTGTCATTTTCTTCAAAGTGTCCTCCGAATCCTGAATGTTGTTCTGAATATATTTTAGCATTTTTAGATCTTTTTGCTGTTAGGACTTCAATGGATTCGTCTGATAATTCTCTTTCTCTAAATAGAGTGACGACTGTGTATCGTCTTTTTATCAAATTTTTTATTTGTTCTGTTTTTAATGTTATTTCTTCAGGTCTTTTTGCAATTCCCTTTGCACTGTGGATGAATAATGATCGAAATATGTTTTCTGGTCTTGGTATTTCTGTCGATACTTCAATATATTTTGGGTATATTTCTTGGATCATTTCTTCATACATATCATATATTTCGTATAGATATTGTTTATCTATATCTTTTTCTTCTTGTCGATTTCTTTTAGTCTGTCTTCTAATCATTTCTTCTTTTTCACATTTAATATATATTTGATAATATGTGTCTTTATATATTTGTATTTCCGTTTGATAATGGAGCTTTTCTAATAATCGTAACTTTTCCGAGTTTTCGATATTGTGTTTAGTGAATACTTTTGTTTCAACTGCAGTTCGGTCACATATAATGATGGTGTTTTCATCAATAACTTTTTCTAATTCAAGTCTTTTTAATTTTTGGTAATTAATGTTCTATTGCGTTGTTAATAGCACTTGGAATGCTAATGAATATTTACTAATATCGGAATACATTAAAGAAAGCCAATCCTTATGTTGCAAAGTGATTTCTTCCATTAAGAATGCTTTGTATCCTAGTTGAATGAGGAATTCTTTAAGTTGTAGGGCCCATGTGGTCTTTCCTACTCCTATTGCTCCTCCGATTGTTATCAGTTTTGCTTTAAGCAAGTTTTCTTCTAGGTAATTATCGAATTGATCAAATTTTGTTAATTCGTTTGTTAGAGTTTTTTGACAAGGGTCATCTCTTCTTTGGTTATAGAGATATTTCAAGGTTTGTTCAATTATTCTAAATTTATCATTGTTTAAACATTTTATCCTGTTTAAAGTATTTTTTCTTCTTTCTTGATCTTGTTCCATTTCTCTAATTAATCTTTGATCTTGTTTGTTTATCAAATCAAAATACATTTGACTACTATTTATTTTTCTCAACCATTGTTCCGGTTTTGGAATCATAATTTGAAGAGTTTTATTTTTATTATTTCCAAAGATTACTTTTTCTTCTGAGTATTCTAAGTCTTTAAGGATTCTCATTTCTTCAGTTTTTATTTCGTCCAAAATTTTAAATCAGTTTTTTTCTTTTTTCTCTTGATCTTTCTTTTGTTGTTCTTGTTCTATTCGTTTTAGTCCTGTTCTGTCCGTATTGGTAATTCGTGCTAATAATTCTAATTCTTTTGACCATTTCTGATAATGGTTTTGATCTTTAAACCATAAGGTCTTAAAGATTTGTTTTTTCAATTTAGTCTCTCTGGATATTATTGTAATATCTTCTTGATTTCTCTTGGAAAGAGTTACTTCTAAGGTCGTTTTTCCATTCCAAATATATTCGACTAATTTTGAAAGTTCTCTATTCTCTTTCATTTCTTCCTATAAGAATTTTTCTAATTCTTCATAACCGGGTTTTATTAATTTAATTGATTTTGGATGTAAGAATATTTCAAATAATATATAATGAAGTTCTTCTTTAGAACGATTATTAAAGCCAAAGTATCCTTTATTAAATTTTTCAAATATTTGGTTAATATTTTCAAGATTTCCATTATTCTGAGTCTTCTGAATTTGCTTCTGTACCATCTTTAATCTGCTCAGTTTCGTCAATTTCTTTTTGAATTATTTTGGAGATTCTGGTTAATTTTTTAATTATCCTTTCATATATTTCTATTCTGGTATCCTGCCAGAATATAATAGTAAAATTTTCTGTAGTGACTATTTGTCCTTTAAGAATGGTTAATCGATGAATATGACTATTTAATGTTTTGTTGTTCATTAAATATCGTCCTCTGAGTAGTTTCCGTCAGAATCTATTTTTGGATTAATTCCGTTTTTAAATTGTTGACAAAGTTCACAAATAGTTATCTCCTGTCTTTTGTCAGAGAATTCTGATAATTCTTGATCAATTTCTTCAATTAAATTCTTTAGATCTTTAATTATATCGTTCAAAGTATCTCTTGTAAGAGTAGCTTCTATTTCAAAGTTTCGTATTTGATATGTTGATGATAAAGCTATTACTGCGTGTTGTTGGAGTATTAAGATCCTATACTCTGCTTCTGTTAGATCTCGTTTGGATAATTCTACCTTGTAGTTAAACCTTTTTTGTGTATACCGAAGTATTTGTATAAGATGTAATCTTATTTGTTCGAGTATTTCTTGATCTGTTCTTTCAATTATAGTGGGTTTTCTTTTACTCATCAAGGTCTAATTCTGGTAATAATATATCAATATTTTTTCTGATATTTTCAATTATTTGATTAATTGTTATAGCGTAATCAGCATTTTCTCGAGTAGTTTTTGGTCTTGGTTTTGATAGAAGGTCTTGAATATCTTGAATTAATTCACTATTTGGTAAAGCCTGAACGTAATATCGTAATGCGGCTTTGGCTAATCGAAATGATAAATTATTATTTTTCTCTATTTGTAAGAATGCAGTATTCAATAGGTTTGCTAATAGGCTTTTGATTCCTGTTAATTCAAAAGCGGTGATTTGTTTGAGGGTTGTTTTGTTATCTTCAAACTGTTCAATAAAGTTACTTTCCGTTGTCATTAATATTGATTAAGGTTGATGAGAAGAAGATAAAGTATTTCTTCTTCAGTTAATTGTTTGGTTAAAAGTTGTATGGTTGTCCAAGTAATATAATTGATTATTTCTTGGATCATTCACTTTTTCTTTTGTGACTTAACTTTTGCGGTCTGAATAAAATAATAAGCTTTGTCGTCTGAGTCGGTTCCTATTAGTGCAGAATATTCGTTGGGGCAATATCCTGGTTTATATCGGTAAAGATTATGAAAGCAGTTGTTAAATCGAATGATATCGTGAGTTGCTTTTTGTTTAAATTCTTCAAGATCTTTAATCTGTTGTTGAAGTTTTTCAATAAGGTCTTTTTGGTTATTATTTTCCATTTGCTCGTAATGAGTGAGGTTTTAATTCAGGGTAATCAACGGTGTTTAAATAATTTTCAGTTTGATAGTCCAGTTGTCATGATTATTAATCTTGTCGTTATCTGTTTGATTTTTAATCAAAGTTTTTGTTTTGTTTATAAGATAGATAAGGATTACTAATTCTAAAATTTGGTTTATAAGAAGGATATTATTAATACGTGTTTTGGCGTTGTTTATTGTACAGATAATTTGTTTTGGTCATGTGTGTACGCCCCTTCCTCGCGTATCACAGTCATTCCCTTCCCTATTTAGGGTAAATACTATAATATTTATTAAGAGTATTTTTGTACTCCAATAAGTATTACATAGAATGTCCTCAATTTTTATTACAAATTATTGATTATTAATTAATTATCTATTTGTCAGATGCTTATTCATCGACAATTATCATTGGGGTTTCTTCATTATATCCTTCATTTTGATTAGTAATTAGTCGTGGTGTTAACGATCTTCCTCGACTTTTTTCTCTTTCTATTGCTCTGTTGATAATTTCATGTTGTCTATTAATTCTGTATATTGTATTATTGAATTCTTCTTGGTCATCCAAGAGTTCAGGTTCTTCTTGGAGTCGATCATCCGGTCTATAATATTGGTTATAGTCCTGTGATATTGCCATGGATATTTCATCCTGAAAATATCGAATCTTATTTAGTAAGGTCCAATATTGTGTATTTCTACATTCAATAATGTTTCTTAATTCATTAATTTGTTCTGATTGGTCCAACACTATTTGTTCTAGTCTTGTTACTCGTTGTTCAGTAGTAATGGATTCTTCGGGTTCTATTGGAATTTCTTCCTGTTGAATAGTTATATCTGGGTCATAACATGTACATTCCTTATAGAATCTATCATATACTTTATTACATTGAATACAGTATTTGTGTGAATGATGGTCACATTCCCCACATGTCTTGCATCCATAATTCCATCTTTGGAATATATGCCATTTCTCAACGTATTGTTTGAATGGTGATATTGTTCTTGGTCGTTTTATATTTTTTGATGATCCTGATGTTGGTGTTCGCCTTTTAATTTCCCGTGGTTGTAATTTTGGAAATTGTTCTTCATAACAGTGATTGCACATTAATTTACTGATTTCTTCGGGTAATTCGAGTTCATGCTCGTTGTTACAATATTTACAATATCGTAAATGATTGTTTTCTTTATCATAACAATGTTGTGTACAATAGGTTCGTTCTACTTCGATTATTTGGTTGTCTTTTTCTTCTTCTTCGAAGACTACTACAAAGTTGTCATTATCATTCTATTTATTATCATTATTGATGCTAATTGGTGTCAAACATCCATTACAATATAGATATCCATTTGGGTAATGTTTTTCTAAATTTTCATATACTTCTAATAATTCTTTGACCTTGTTTACTGTAAATATTGGTTGAATGATAATTCCATCACTTCTTTGAGTTCTTTATAATTTTCTTGATATTGAGTTGAGCTTTTGCTGTATAGGTCTTGTTCGAAGTGTCATAGAACTTCTTGTTTAGTTAAAGATTTTTCTTCTAATTCTTCTTCGGTATATATTTTATATACTCGATATATTTTTGATATGTTGAGGTCATATTGGGATTCTCGAGATTTTGTTGAATAACAATAATGGTGTATCCTTTCTTCTAATTTGTAGTTTGAGTTATATTTAAGATCGGTATATACCTGATAACCGTATCTTTCTTCGTTACTACAGAAGGTCATAGTATCTTCAAGGAACATTTTTCTTTTTAAATTTGTCCTTTTACAGAATTGACATTGTTGAATTATGTTTTCTTTTTCTAGTCATTTAAAGATTTCAATCCTTTGTGGGTCTTTGTGTTGTGTTAATTTTGCCACTTCAA